AACGAGACACGGTCTTTTGTCGTGTAGACTTCCAAGAAATAATGTTAGAGCCAAGATAAACTACGTATGCGGTAGTTGAACGTCCACCATCCCTTATATCACCCCAATCGGCATCTAAAAAAGCAGTCAACATAAATGGGGAGTCATATTTCAAAAATAAGCCATGGTGATAAGTGCCCTTAAGATAGCGCAAAACCCTCTTAGCAGCCTGCCAATGAACTGCACATGGGGAATGCATAAACTGAGACAACTTATTAACCACATATGCTACGTCTGGCCTCGTAATCAGCAAATACTGCAGCATCCCAATTAGTCGCCGATACCCGGTCGCATCAATAATAACACCAAAATCAGATTGCGGAAGCCGCCCATCTGTAGACATAGGCATGAAAACTTCTTTCGCTCCATCCATCTTGAAGCGTTGTAGAATGTCAGCCAAATACCGGCCCTGAGATAAAAGCAAACCTGAACTGGTGGGAATGACCTCAATGCCAAGAAAATGATGAAGAACACCAAGGTCTTTAATAGAGAACCGCCGAGCTAAGGTAGCAACAAAGCCATCCAAAAAAGAGACATTATTCCCAGTTAGAATAATATCATCTACATATACTAGGAAATAAGCAATAACTCCTTTCTCCAGATAAATAAACAGTGAGGTGTCTGCTTTCGACCGTTTAAAACCAACCGTGAGCAAATAATTAGACAGCTCCAAATACCAGGCCCGGGGAGCCTGCTTGAGACCATATAACACCTTTTGCAACTTACAAATATAAGAGGGAAATTGTGCATCCTTGTAGCCAGGAGGTTGCTCCATATAAACATCTTCATATAAAGTGCCATGCAAAAATGCGTTATTTACGTCCAACTGGCGAACTACCCACCTGCAACTCAAAGCAATAGTAAGAATAACCCGAATCGTCACAGGCTTCATCACAGGACTGAAGGTTTCAAAGTAATCACGACCCGGTTCTTGTAAAAAACCTTTAGCTACTAAACGGGCTTTATAACGATCAACGGAACCATCGGATTTTCGTTTGATACGAAAAACCCACTTGAAACCTATGGCTTCTTTTCCATCACGAGGGACCAGAATCCAGGTATTATTTCTCTGGAGAGCTTGGTACTCACTGTCCATAGCGGTACGCCAAAGGGGATCCCGCAAAGCCTGAGCAACGGTAGATGGTTCAAGAGAAGCGGGCAGAGGATGAGTGGTGGTTGCATTGACAAACTTGTCATTGTAATACTTTGGATTAGGCTTACGAGTACGCTTTGGACGAGATGTCTGAGAAGAGGCAACATCCGACACCGAGGGGGTATCACTAGAGTTAGCATGAGATGATTCTGAACGGAGTGAGGGTGTTTCTGAGGCTGCAGCGGAGGGAGTATCATTAGCTGGAGAGATTTGCTCAAGTGAGGTCGGAGACACAGACACATTAGGAAGTGGTGACACTGAGGGAGTAGAGATAGAATTGTAGGGGGATGAAACGGATATTGTGGGGAGAGTTTGAGGTTGTATAGGCAGGGATTGTGATGGACAACTATATGGGTAAGCATTTGAGATAGGAGTCCTAGGCAACTGAGGTGGTGACTTAATAGAAGGAAAGTTAGTCTCAACAAATTTCACATGCCTAGAAATATATAGTCTATTTGTGTTCGGATCCCAACACTTATATGCCGATTGAGAAGTGGAGTAGCCTAGAAAAATACAGGGAATGGACCTGGGTTGTAACTTTGTTTTCATATAGGGACGTAGCCACGGAAAACAAAGGCATCCAAAACTCTTCAAACGGTTGTAATTTGGCAATTTTTGGTACAGACATTCAAATGGGGATTTATTGTTGAGGATTGGAGTAGGAAGCCAGTTTATTAAATAAGCAGCTATTTGCACTGCGTAAGACCAAAAATTTCGGGGAAGAGATGCACAATGTAGCAAGGATAGAGCTGTCTCAATGACGTGGCGATGACGACGCTCTGCAGTGCCATTATGCTCAGGGGTGTGAGGTGGTGAAGTGAAGTGGGAAATTCCATGTGAATTAAACATTGGAATTAATTTTATAAACTCACCTCCATTGTCAGAAAAAATTGAAATAATTTTATGATCAAAATATTTCTCAACTAGACGCTTAAACTGAGGAAAAATTATGAAGACTTCTGATTTCATCCGAAGAGGGTACAACCAGATATATTTTGTAAAATAATCCACAAAAATAACATAGTACAAGTAGCCATCAACGGACTTTTCAGTTGTACTCCAGACATCTGTATAGATTAATTGTAACGGTTTAGAGCTGAGTAATGAATTTTCTGAAAAGGGCAATTTGTGACTCTTATTAATGTTACAAGAAGAACAGCTAAAGGAATCAACAACAGAAGACTTAAATCCAATCTTGTAACATTGTAATAATTTTTTGAGTGTTTTATTAGATGGATGGCCAAAACGATGGTGCCAGGCCGATAGAGAAGAGTTGACTACCACATTTATTTGAGGATGACAAATGGGAGTGTAGTACACATCATGAATGTTCTCCCCCCGTAGAAACGACGCCCCCGTGCGAAGATCCTTCACCAAAAAATGTGTGGGAAAAAATTCAACAGAAACTTGATTAGTTTTGCACAATTTTGAGACAGATACAAGATTAGTTTGTAACTTGGGAACGCACAAGACATCACTTAAAGAGAGAATACGAGATTCAGTAGGGAGAGTAGCGTGACCCGTATGTGTAATGTTCAAAGTATTACCATCCCCAAGGCGTATCTCGTCAGGACCCCCGTAGTCAGTGAAGCCATGCAATGATGAAGGACTGGATGTAGCATGATGGGATGCCCCACTATCAAACATCCACTGAGGCGAAGTCACAGGTGAAGTAGTAGCTGTGTTGGACACTGGTTGTTGATTACGGGACTGTTGCACATCCTGAATGTGAATGTTATTGTCGCGTAGAAACCGTGCTAATTTTTTGCAAAATTTTGTGTCATGGCCCAGGAACTCACAAAAATTGCAGTAACGGTTCTGACGATCGCTAGAGTTGGTCCCTCGATTTTGAGTGCCTCTGTTCTTGCGAAAATTTGTATTTTGATCTCGAGATTGGACTATTGCAGATCGGCTCATGGAGGAATCTCGGGAAGGTTTTCGTTGTGCCACATTGGCAGTTGCTAGCAACAATTGATCATTATTTTGTTTTAATGATCTTTCATAGTCTGTGAGAATATCAGCCAGTTCTCCATATGTGACTGATTTCTCACGAACTCGAATTGCTGCCATAATTGGATGGAATTCATCACCAAGTTGGGTGATTATACTGACTACCAAGTCTTCTTCAGAGATTGGGTTTTGGGCCAAGGCTAGATCATCTGCGATTGCTTTCATATCCTGAAGATACTCAGTCACAGACCGTGAGCCCTTGAGATTTTTAGCCATTTTCGCTTCCAGAGAGATGACACGTCCTCTGGAAGTGTTTGCGTAGCTTGAGGTTAGGCGAGACCATGCATCAGCAGCTGTGGTAGCAGAAGAGATGATCGGCTGAATCGTCTCCGAACAACTGCCGAGAAGAGCACTGACAATGACCTGATCCTGGCGAAACCAAATGAGGTGACAGGGATTTGGTTGTTGACGTGCAGTGTCAAGGAACGCATCTGGTTCCTTTTGTGTGCCATCAATATAGCCTAGCAGTCCAAGTCCAATGAGAGTGGAGTGAATCTGCCGACGCCATACCGGAAGTGAGTAGGAGCAGACAATTGAATGATAGCAGTACCATCTGTAATCTCCATTGGATCAAAGAGGAGAAGAAAAGAGAAAAAAAAAAAAAAAATCTCGTGAGAGTGTTTTAGGCTCTGGATACCATATGAAGGGAAAATATAAACTGTTGTATTAAGCATTAAAGAGCAGAAGCATATATAGGTACAACCAAGAGACATTACAGGAGATAAGTTACACAACAAAGAAGACCTACTCTAATGGAGAATAAAGCTAACAGTAAAGACTAAACAATAGATGAATTATAATCCTTAATATAGAGTTATTAATTAACTAATCAAAACAGGCATTATATACCTTTTGAAGACTTTTTTGTTGGAGGCTTGGAGTTAAGGTCAATGCTTTGAGTCTTCACAAGTTGAAAAAGTTGGAACTTAGCAAAAATAGCATTTTAAGTGATTATTTTGTGGTACAAATATCATTAGGGTTCACTTTTGATTTGAGTCAAGTCGAAGTGGATTCGGGTTCTCCTAAGTGAGACGAAGAAATCGATATATTGTATGTTCAAAACGAATAATGAATGAATGAGAAATTGATTTTCAAAATATACACATTTGACTTGAAAAAATAGTTATGGAAATATTTTAGAAGTGTTTGTCTCGGATTAAAAAAGAAAAGTGAATTTACACTAATATAAATACAACTCTCTTTTTAGAGAAATTGGATTATATAATACTCCGTATAAATAATCTTTATTATATTTATTACTTTGAAGATGTGGAATTAGAATTATAACTAAAAACTGATTTTTTTTATTTTTTTTTATTTGAGAGCTTAACAAGGGAATGATGGATCCTTGAAATGAAAAATAAAATAAAATAAAATAATAATAATAATAATAATAAGAATAATAATTACTAACATTCCCTAAAAGTTTCATTTCCAATTTTACGCCACTTTGTTACACGTATAGTTTTTTTTTTTTTTTTTTTTAAGAAAAGTCGCAGTTATCTGAGAGTGTACATTGGGTAAATCTAATAAACCTCTTGCACTAAGAGTCGAGCTTGTAACCTTATTATTACCAAGCTAACAAACTAACTTGACTAAGGTTGTCATTTTTTCTAGCTATTTTAATATTTATTGTATGCAAAATGAGTGAATATTTTGAAGTTTCCATGGCATAATAGTTTACAAATAGGTATTAGGTCAGATAATAGTAGCAAAAGAAAATGAAATCAGCTTTCCATAAACCAAATAAATAAAATAGAGAAAGAAGCATGAAATTCAAGGATGGCAGCAAGCACTGAAGGAATTGGTAATGATGGATGGGGATCCAAGTTCTAATTATTATTTAAGATAAAAGAACATCCTGGCTTCACAGGCAACAAAATTTGGAAAAAATATATATATTAATGTTGTGTTTATTGCTGGCTGATACGAGAGTCTCCTATGATTTCTCTTCAACATTTTCTACACTGTAGATTCGCAGAAAATCCAAAACTCTCATCAACATATGCAATCAAGCCAAGAAGAAATACCTTATTATTATTGTCAAAAGCTTCCCTTCAGCGTACTGAAGCACAAATGGATTGCTGACTGTACAATTCGCCGATTCCATTACTGATTTTTGATCGATTTCTTCTACGCTTGGTAACAACCATAAAGCCTTCACCATCCCCCCCATTGTTATTACTATTTACATCGCCCATTTTTGAGCTCTCGTTGTTCTTTGCTTCGGATGATAGTCCTGTCTTCCCTTCATCGTTCCCATATTGTATCTTTATAATGGCGCTATCATTTGCAATTGCTTCGGCTGAGTTTGCTGGGAGCCCTGACTTCTTCTCGGAAACTGGAGATTCGATTGGAGTGTCTGAGCTATGTTGTACCGACTTCACAATGAAGCTAAGAAGTATCTGCCTCGCAAGTTCTGTCTTCTCGGCATCCGAGGTGCTTCTTGATGACTTCTTGTTTTTAGCATCGTCCGTGGTCTTCTCCACAACGGAATCACAAGCTGGGGCGACTGTGGAATCTTCTTCGGTGGAATTGGTTTTCCAGGCGTTTCTCGGAACGAATTCAGGAGCGTGTGGGTTCATAGTTCTGGCGGGGTTAACTCCATTTCCTTCACCGGATGATGCATGGTACTTTGAGTAGCCATTTTTCACGCGGGGATGGGTAGACCTGTAGTACATAGGAGATCTAGGACCACATGGAACTCTCGCTGCGATTGATGGGAAGCCTATAGGCTCTATAACCACGCCCTGCCTCGCCATTTCATCGTAGACACTAGCAACAGCAGCACGGTTTAGCAAATGGGTGACGGCATAGGCACCGGGGTTGAACGGTGGAGCAGCTGCAGAAAGCTTACTCCCATTTGCCTCCACAGGCTTTTCTTGAGTACTTGGGGATGAAACATCGTCTAGCTCACTTAATGAGCTTTCAGACTCGATATTTCCACTGTTCTTATCATCAATATCCTGCATAGTTGATGTGTTCCTTTCATCAGTGACAGGCTTATCATCGAGATTGGCAGAAGATTTGTCCGAGGTTACTGTGTGCCTTCTTCCATCCTCTTCCGGTGGTGTCTCGGGAGGACTAATGGAGATCTGAGAGTCAGAATTATCTTTGTTTAATTCTTCAACTTTCTCCAGTAAGGGCTTTAGAACCGTACCTGGTGGGGCCACAGCTACATCTTTGTAGGACAATGACTTAGAGGCCATAGTTGTAAGATTGGCAGGAGGGGAGGAAACACTAACAGCTGATGAAGAAAAACCTTTAGGAACTGCTACTTTAGCAGAGACATTCTCTGAATCACCAGAAGAAACTGTCTTAGATGTACCGTTGTGCCCCTGAGAGATCACTTCTTTCCTAGATATTCGGTCCCTTGGGAAAGAATAAGCGGAAGTTGTTTTTATCTTGGCAAGATTTGGTCGCTTTCTGGCGTGCTTTTTGGCAGTGCCACCACTGCGTCCTTTTGAATTTGCTTCTTGCCACCCATCATCCGAGCTTGTTTCCTGCACAGCCGCTTCAACAACCAGTTCAACATGCATTGAACTAGGAGGATCCTTGGATTCTTGAGATGTAATAATGTCATTTTTATCCTCATACTCAATGACCTTCATGGACGACGCACCAATTTCTTTATTGTTTTCCGTCAAAGAATTGTTGCTTATTCCATCATGAGCTCCTTTCTGAGATTTCTCGGAAACTGGAAACACCTAACAGACCACACAAAAATAATAACCATAATGATTTTAGATGATAATGCTTTCTACGCTGAAAGAAACACAAAACACAAAAAAAGAAAACAAGTGATACCTTTGAACGCCGTTTACGGTGCAAATCCAAAGCCTTTATATCCTTATCCGGATTTATGTAATCAAGGAGATCTGATACACTGGAACAAGCACAATGGTTAATCACAAAAATACACGCAAAAAGTTTCAAAAGCAAGTAATCTGTGTACAAATATATCAACACCTGAGATGTCCTTTGCTAGCTATGGAAGCATCTGGTTTTGGTGTCCCAGATCGTGCAGCCTCTTGCTGCTCTAATGCTTTTGATTCAAAGTATTCAAGCCAGGCAGCAGCATCCTACACAGGAAAACCCGTGTAAGTTAAGCAACTAACAAAACGGCAGAAAAGTTAAAAAGAACAAATTGTCTCATTTGGTAAAGACTATCTTATAATTTCAGCAAGCCCGCATAAATAAGGAAAAATAAAATTAGAGGTGCACCTGAGTTCGGAGATCCTCTGGTCCAAGCTTAGCTTGAAGAATTTGAAGTGTAGTTTGCTCGTGTTGCACACTCAATGAATATGCTTCCATTAATGAAAGAGCAATGGCTATGGCGTGATAACTGGCAGCAGTCTGTGTGCAAAGTGCAAACCACGGAATTAACAACAATTGCTCCTGAAAGAAAAAGGACAAGCATCTGAAAAATTAAAGTCAGAATGGGACCTGAATGTGATCATCTCCAAGTAATTTCTGGTTGCATTTAAGTGCCTCATGTAGATATCTAAGAGCAATTTGTGCATTCCCCATGCCCTCTTCCATCATAGCCACATTAATGTAGGTAGCTGCTGTGTTTGGATGTGATAGACCACACGTAAAATGAAGCAGAAACAGGGCTCGGTTGACATATCTGGCAATATACAATAAACATTATACAATCACAACATTAAGCACAAAAATGAAACAAAACAATGAATTTTGTCTACTCACTTCAGGGCCAATTCAATATGTTGAAGACGGTAGTAGAACACTGAAAGATCACCGTAGCTTTTCATTGTGTCTGGATGATCAAGCCCCAGTTCCCTCTCATTAATATCCAATGCTTTCTGCTGATATATAGTTGCCTGAAGAATGACAAGAATCAGAAACCTAAATCCTTGAACATCTATATACATATCAGAACAACCATACAATACAAGCAGCAGCTATTTGGATAACTAAAAGGGAGGCAAAAATTCATTAAGATGAAGCAATAAAACATTTGAAAAACCTGATTGAAGTCTCCAGTGTGATAAAGGACAACTGCCAGTAGGCTATAGGCACTTGCGGTTGTACGATGATATGGGCCACAAACAGCAATCATTTTTGTAAGAGCCTACAGTTCAAAATCATATATAAAGTCAATTTTTTTTTTATCTATGCAACTATATAAGAGTTAATAATTCATGAAAATTGAAAAACAATCTTATATACCTTTGTTCCAAAATTCAAGGCATCTTCCAGCTTCCCTTTGTCAAGAGCAATCTTAGAGGACTCCAGTAAGGTTCGACCATCAGCAGAAGAGCATACAACATGCTGTGAAGATCATTTTGATGAGCAATATTCTTTTGTTTTCACTACTTTAAAATACTCATGCAGAATATCAAAGAATTTTATAAGTTAAACTGATTAAACGAAATTATAAGCTAAGAGAAAGAAACCTTACTTTACACAAAGGCACTAAACTGATGACATCAGTTTCACAAAATGGATTTGAACTTTCCATGTCATAATCTCTGGGAACCAACTCTATCCCAACCTACAAAGAGAAAAATTCAATAGTTGTTCACAAAAGCTAAAGAACAAATCAGCTAGTTATGATACTACCTTGTGACAGAGTCCACGAAGAATTGACAATTTTCTCAAGCGCTTGAATTCATCATTCAGATTCCAACCAAATCTTTTCAAAAGAAATTCACTTAACCATTGGAACTTGAGAATTTGGTCATCACTCAATTTCTCTTCATTATCCTCTGGTGTATGGGAACCAAGCAAGAAATTCAGAGTGGTGGCAATTGCAGCTGGTAAATAAGCCTCATCACTAGTAGAAGCAATAACCGCTCTAACAATGTACTTAAAAGCTCGAGTAACCATCTCATGAATACAAAGTGACTGTATATGAGGAAGCTTCTGAGCAAGCTCAACCTGGTTCATGTAATAAAATTGAAATATACCATTGAGATTTTTGAATCACAAAAACAGATGGAGGAAAGAAAAATGAAAGCTCACCACTCGTCCCAGAGAACGCATTTGCAATCCTCTTAGGTGCATGAAGTCTGTGAGTGTTCGACCATCAACGGGTGAAAGTTCCAATGATGCAAAGTCTGCCACCTAAAATATAAAAAGGAATTAGAACACTTGGAACAACAGTTAAAAAACTTAAAAGAATTAATGTGCTATTTGGTCCATAGAATAGGTCGGGATAAAATAGCATTCCAGAGAATAGACCTATTAGGCTATTTGGTTTGATTTCTATTACACAGAATGGGCTATTCCCTTTGCAATGGGAATAGCCTAGGGGCCGCAGTATCAACTATTCCTAGCATGCCCTTTTTTGTATCCACCCCTATTCCATATTTCCATTCACTATGGAATACTGGAATACTATTCTTATACCATTTGTTTTCATTACACAAACCAAACATCAAGTGACTTACCAGCTTAGGGAGAGCAATTTCATCGTAATACTTCTGTGCCATCTTGATAATCTCATCTACTGGCTGTTTCGAAAAAGAATATAAAAAACAATAAGTGATAAAGTGCTGGAATAAACTACATCTCCTTCCTTTTCCAGTAACACATCAATTCAAAAAAGTGCTAGTGAGTGATTGATAAAAGTACTCTACAAATAAAAGAAAAAATTATAAAACCTTTAGATGAAGACCAGTTCCACTCTCTTTAACACGGAGATATGCTTCTTCAGAAATATATTTCCTCAACTCCGCCTTTGAGCTGGATTCATCATTGGGTTGTTCAGCTAAGATACATTCCATGTTTGGAGAACTGGTTGAGTCATTCTTGGCTTCATTTACATCTGTCACATTACCATTCCCAGATTTTCTTTCCCTCTTTTTCAACATTTTAAACTGCTTCCCTAATCCTTTGATTAGAAGCTCATCCTTACCATCATTCTCAACTTTCTTAGGACTGTTTTCTGTTGTAGTCTCCTGCTTTTGTAGATGCTGCACCCAGCAAGACCCAAGCTCCCATCTGAAGGAACTTTTCAGTGCAGGAGGCTTCTCTTGCAACTTTTTCAAACTATCGTTAGTAACTTCACGGATGAGACAACTAGAAGTGTCATAGTCCCCAATTTTATGTTCAGGTGTGCTTGGCTTCAAGAGGAGAAAACGCAAGCTGCAATAGTTGGATTTCAAAGAGTAAGAATATTGCAAACATTTCGGGCACCAAAAGAATAAACAAATATATCACAACCTAAGATAACAAACTTAGACATTGATTGAACCTTGGGGCATCTATTGAAAAGAAAAAGATTATCTTCCCTAATGAAGTGAAGCACAGGAAACCTTAGTAGTCTCAGAAATTATGCAGAGATAGAAATGATTCAAACCTGTTAATGTTGAGTGCGTTGGCTCCCCCATCTGGTTGATCATCAATTACAATATCTTGTGACAGACTCCTTCCCTCCCCAAGATCACCCATAACTTTCACAATAGCTGTGTAACCACAGTGTCTTACAGTAACCATACCTAGTGATAATTTATCCTGTGAAAATAAAAAACACATAAGTAAACCAGAATAAGTAGAGGCAAAATGATGAAATTTGGAATTCCTAAATCACAAAAATAAATATAAACTAGTTTGAGCTTTGTAGTTAAGCCACTCACATGTGCAACTACACTTTCATCTGCAGTTATCCCTTTAAGTAAATTTCTTTGGGCAACCTCTTCAGCAGATTCACTGAAGCTTTTCGTACCAATAATTTTAACTTCTTTATGGCTAGCATCTGTGGCATCTCTTTTCACTGTGATATACAAATCTCCAACACGATCCTCATATAACACTGAATCCCAAACACAATTTGGAGTCGATACCTCTGAGGAATTGATGACTTTTTGTATGGCTGAAACAGCTTTGAAAATTGAGACATCAACAAAAAGATTATGCAGCAAAAAAGCCTTTCGATCTCGAACAACCCTTTCCTCTTCAGTTTTACAAGGAAGATTTGCAAGTATATGGAATTCTGAAGCCCAAGGTCTAAGATCATGCTCTCCATATCTCCCCTGGCCTCCACCATTACCACCCCAGCTCACATCTTCAACTGGAAGAGGAATGAAATTTGGTCCAAGATCTATAAGGGTTGGGGGGACAAGCCACGTATTGGCGCGGAAACCATACGGAAGATTACCGAACTGAAAGAATAAAATATAAATCAAGTTCATAACTAGCCCCATGTAAATCAATCACATTGCAACAGTAATAAAAGCATTATTTTTTAAAACAAAAAATCACCTTATTATGGTCAACAAAGGCATTCATCAATGATTCGTATGCCTGTACAAAACATTAGACTTGTCATTCATATATGACAAATTGCTACAAAAATCAATTGAAACCACCAATAATTACTGTAACCAAAACCCGCTGAAATATCAGGTGCAATAGAAGGGAAAGGTATTTACTTTAGCAAATGCTTGGCTGAGCTGTTGAAGAAGATCAACCAAACAATGGGCACGTATAAATGGCTTTCCCAAAGGATAGTAACCAGTTTTTGAAGCCACCACTTGTAGTAACTTGCCATTGCATATCTTAATCTGCATATAGTTTTCATCAAAACAACAATAAGAAGACTAAACAATAAACTTGAAAACTCAACTCATGTAAGTTCAATTTAATTATTTTTAGGAAAAAGTGTCAATAAGGTCACTGAACTTCTTACTTTTTGCAATTGGGTCACTGAACTTAAAAAGTGTACAATTCAACCATCAAACAAGCAAAATATATGCAATTGAGACATTTTTCCGGTAGAACCCGATCATATTGCTTACATGGTAGGTAAGAGTTGCCTTTTCCTCTACCATACTAGTCGGGAGTAAAGATTGAAATATTTTTAACTCAAATTTTACTAAAAGAAATCAGAAAAATGTCCTAATTACACATACTATGCTTGTTTGCTGGTTTGATTGCACACTTTTTCAGTTCAGTGACACAAAAATGGTAAATTCAATGGCGTATTGACACTTTTTTATTAGTAATGCTAATGCTAATTTATTAGTCGAACCTGCATTTCAAAATAGTCGCCATTTTGATCCGATTGGCCATCCTTTAGTTCCAACCTCTTCAAACCTGAGAATACAAAAATGCATTTAAAATAATGGAAATGAGCCAAAAAAAAAAAAAAAAGTTTCAAAGTAGTGAGGGAGAAGCACACTTATTATAGGCGGGGAGAGGTGAGACAAAGACAGGAACTCGTAGAAATCAGAAAGCTTCGGAATGGGGTGGATCGCCAGCATGTCATACTCTTCCGAGACGGCCGGAGAAGGAGAATCCGGGGCCCGTACGGCTCCATCGGACGGCGAGTCCGGCCGGCAGGCCTCCGCCGCATTGAGCTGCGACTTGTGCTTCCTGGCGCGAGCGTCGTTGGCGGAGGGCGTTGACGGTTTGGCGGCGCCGCCTCTGGACTTGCCGAAGCGCGTGGTGCACGCGACAATGTCGAGTAGCCTGCGAACATGCGCCTCCGCTTGGGCCTCCTCCGCATAGTCCTCTGAAATATCGCCGCGTTGGGCTATATGTTAAAATCGAGCAACCAAACGGGCCGCAAGGACCACAAACACAATTCACATGTCCCCTTGAAAAGGTGAAACATCGCAGAACTACTTACGTGACATTATTGTCACTCGCTCCATAAATACTTTATAATTTAATCACTTATATAGAAAGTTGTATATTGACCCTTCCAAGTATATCAAAAAATGCCTATAACCCTCCATTCTCAATCGCAAGAAAAAAGAATAAATTTCATTTTTGATCCCCATATTGTTATACATGAATCACATTTGGTTATTGACTATTAAAATTTTATAATTAGGTGCATGACTATCTAATTTGTATCACATTTGATCCTGTTATCCATTTTCTGACCATTTATTGCTAGAAGTGCTTGTTCCGAAAGAAGGAGATGCAGTACTCCTTTCAGAAGAAGCACTACCGGCAATAATTGGCTGTGAAATTGGACAGTAGGACCAAATACAATACAAATTACATAGTCACTCACCTAATTATAAAATTTTAATAGTCAATAACTAAATGTGATTCATGCATAATAATCAAGGGATCAAAAGTGAAATTTTCTCCAAAGAAAAAATGTCCATCACCCTCAAATTACAATCCTACAGTTTACAAGTTTAGTCTCCAATTCTTTCGAGTAACTAAAAAAATAAGATCAGAATATATCTTCAAATAACTTACCCGTTATCATCATAAATTTACAAATTCAACCGAGTAACAAAAAAATGAGCAAAATATCCCGACAATTTCTAATGCACACTCGAATAACATATCACTTATCATCATTAAAAGTTTACGAATTTAATTACTGACCGTTTCCGGATAATCAAAACATGAGACTTAGGCACGCCCACAATTTCCAATGCACTATCAAACAACTTACTAAATATAGGGAGGGACTTCTAACACGAGGGAAGGCAAGTGTGCAAGGTGAGACCCAACAGTGATCATGGAGCACACAGAAACATCGTTTTCAGTAAGGGAATTCATTAAAAACCACAAACGTATATGACATTCACTATTTAACGTAAAGGCAGCAGAGGAGCAATGCGATCTGAGAAGTGTGGGTGGTACGAATTCAACACTACATGTGCAAATTTCAAATTGCTTATTAATTATAGCAGCAATTTTTTGTTGAAAGAAGCATATCATCAAATTAAGTCTGAAGATAAAACATTACAAAGATAGGGAGGAGGATTAGTAAACCACTTCAAACAATCAGACTCAGAAATAGACTGCCTTACAACGGTATAAACTGTCATGTTCACTGATCGTTTTGCATTATAGCAACAAATTAAACAATGTTTTTGTACAATCATTATTGTGTAAACCATGGTCCACACAACTGTGTTGGCTACAATCCAAAAACGCATAAAATTACATTATTCTAACACATAAAGTAAATTGAAATTCACTTTAAAAAGTAAATTTTAATTCACGATATAACTATTGGGTTAAAACCAATGACATTGTGGTCTACTAGCATGAAGTGACCCCCCAAAATAAGAGATTATAAATTTGACCTTCAGTGGAGACGGTACTGACTCTTTGTGTTTCAGTAGGTTAAATAGATACTCCCTCCGTCCCGAATTGGTTGTCTCATTTACTTTTTGCACGCTTTTTAAGGAATTAAAGTAAATGTTATGTATTTTCCAATTATGCCCTTCACTTTTTCACTTTTGGAAATAAAAGCAAAAGTCATAAGGGTAATTTGGGAAAAAGTAGAATGATGGTGATGTTCAATTTTGGAAAGTGGACAACATTTTGGGACAAACTAAAAAGGAAAGTAAGACAAACAAAATGGGACAGAGGGAGTATTATATTATCACAGAATCAGTAGTACTAAAAAAAAACTATATACTGGGTTAAGGTTATATGGAGTCATTAAACAATTGAATGTTCAAAGAATTTAGGAGATATTTATTACATTAAATTCAACAAAGTCAAAAAAAAATATTAATATCATTTTCAACCACATGCGACACGTGAGGTTCACTATTTATTCAACAAAAAGGAAAAACCGTAAAACGGCACAGGAATCGGAGAGTCGGAATCCGAGTCGTGGGTTTCAACGTGAAAAACAATCAGAATAGGGAAAAGAAGACAAAATTTTGCGGGCCTCGGAACTGCCGATTTATTGGAAACTTAGTGTAATATCGACCAGGTTGCCAATGAACTCCACACTCTATGCCAATGAATACCACACTCTCTATGCCAATGAATTAATTAATGATTGAAAAAATGTGCCATTTATTTTTCTTTTTCTTCATTTTTCGTACTTTCATTGAATACCAAAGGACACGAGACATGAATGTTAACACAATACTTAAACATTTCCCATCCGAGGACTGTTTAGGTCATGATTCGTAGGTGGTGATAATTTGTTGTAATAAATTGATTGACCGCCCATTTTTAGCATTAAAAAAATAAAATTTTGGGAGATTTTTATTTATTTAATATTATATATTTATTTATATAAACAATAAACCTACCTTCAACCATTCTCAGAAAACATGGCTTTAGAGCAACAACCTCAAACCTGTCATTCAGCTTCGCCCCTTTCACCTGCCCACAACATTAAAAAAAAAGTTTTTTATTAATTTCAGAATTTGTTGTCAAAAACCGTGTAGTAAAGTGGCATAACTGTGACTCTTTCAAATGAGATGTGAGGTTCGACATAAATTATATTGTAACAGAGTCAGTAGACTCAAAAAAAAAAAAAAAAATTAAAGACTAAATTTGTTTGGGATTAATTTAATACAATTTTTACCTCGTGTGACAGGGAGTAGTTAGTGAAATGACAAGTTTGCACATTGGAAGCCAGCAGCCTCTTCACATCCAGAATCTTGTCCGTGGAGATACCCTTCATCGGTTTCATGGATTCCCATCAATAACAATACAACAATATAAATAAAATAATAATAATATTATTATTATATTGAAAAAAACTCCATTATTCCATGTACAGGGAGAAGAACGAGGAAGTTGGAGCATAAACCAAACCAAACCAATTAATTTTAGTACCTTGAGAACAACGTGGGTATCATATGGAGTGACAACTGTGATGTCAAGAACACTGGGAATAACTGCAAAATTCAATGAATGAATGAATGATGATAAGAAGGGTGAATGAATTCAAAGGGAAAAATATATATGAAATAAAGAAATTCCCATAAGACAGACCTTTCTCTTCCTTCTTCTTCTTATCAGCCTTGGGTTTGTTTCCCTTTCCCCTTCCAGACTTGGGGGCCATGAACCCAACTCTTCAGTTCTGTGGTTTCTTCCAAAGAGTGAGCAAGAAAATGAGGAATGGAGGGGAGGGGATAATATGGGGATAAAAAGGGAGGAAATCTTGTGAATGGATTTTAATAGAAGGAAGGGGGGATAGAGAAGAGAAGAAGATAGGATAAGGAGCAAAAGGTTTTGTTTGGATTGGGGGGTTTGGGCTTTTGGGTTTCTAAGTTTCACACCTTAGCCCTTTTTTCTTTTTTATTAGCAGGATGGGATTTTCAAGAAATCTTGGCCTCTCCTTGTTTCTTGCTTCCTCTAGTAATTGGCGACTCTGATTTTGCCCCCACCATACCCCCTTCCTATTCCCATCTCTCTCTCTCTCTCTCACATGAAATTTTATAACTTCCTATATTACAATATCATGTACTTTATAAATTTGTACATCTACTTTAACTTGATTTACAAAAAAGTCTGCAGTCTTTACTTGAATGTGTATTTTAGGTGAAACACTAAAACTCATAACTTTGTAATTTTAAGCGGCAAAGGACCACAGTGAAATAAAATAGCATACGTTGATTGTAGCTGACCGACTCGAATGAAAAAGACTAATAGACGTTACAATATCACATACTTTATAAAATTGTACCTTTACTTCATATATAATAAGAAGGTGATTGTGATTCGACCACCACCATTGTTCCCTTCCCATTTCTCTCACTCACGGGAAACGTTATAGTGTCGTAAATTATAATACCGTGTACTTTATACATGTATATTTTATACATTATTAAAAATACATAAGAAGAAAGTGACTCTAGTTTTGTCTCCACCACTATTTGCTTTTAATTTTGATTATCGAACTATTACATAGGAGTAAAGTGTACACAATATACATTCTTAGGTAGTAGCTAAGGGTTTTCCTCGCATATTATTAAATTTGTTTAGATTTTTTTTTTTAAATATTATTGCTAAGAAGACTTAAACCATTGATATTTCATTTACCTTATCACTATTGAAACCAACTATGCTAAGGACACCTTATGTATGTTTAATATTCAGATATAATAACTTGTATTTCTTTTTAAAATGTTTGCACAAAATATATATCAATGATATATAACCGACTTAAATAATTGTTGATGATTTTTTTTTTAAATATTTTCTCAAATATTTTCAGCTCAAATAATTTAAGCCCTCACCACCGCGTTCGAATTTATGACCATACATTTGGAATGATATCCAAGATTTCATTACACTACAGGGTAGTTGACACTTCAATAATTGTTAGTTGAACCACACTTACAAAAAGAAATTAATATTTTGTTTTGTTTAATTTATATATTTTGATATGAAAACAGAACTAGGTTTTTTTTCCTCTTTAATTAAGTATATAAACATATTTAGTTTGTAATATAATGAAAAAATACACAAAGTGAGATTAAACGAAATGCAGTTGCACCATCTCTGAATTGAATACTTCAAGAATTAAATAGACATGGTGTAACAAAAGGGCTATAGAAAGATATACAAGAGTGATGCATGTTACGTTGGATCGAGATGTAGCTAATAGTATATAAGATGTAATGTACAAGAGTTTACATCAATAATAATATATTATAGACTTGTTGTATGGAGTATGGTATTAATAGCAAGTTTGATATATATGACCTTGCTTCCATTGATAACAATATCAAAATATTGCATTCTAGCTTTCTCTTCATTTTGTTGACAAGAGAGTTACGTTCAAGCCAAGTTTATATATTGACAATTTTTTTGATAACTCCAATTTTTCGACTTTGTCAAACTATATCCGAGACCCCATTAACCCTGCCCAAAACTCATGAAGGAGGTAAATCTCGAGATGTCCAAGTGATTTTAGGCTTCTTGTCGTTTGTACATTTTTGCACACAAGAAGTCTTTACCACCAATTGATCAAAGTCGCAAGACATATACCCCATGATGCTTCATGTCCCGTCTGCAGCTTCCACACTAAAAACATAATATCCTCCATGCTATATGCGATTGTTGATAGGTGTCTAAACCATGGAAGCCCCTTCCCTTTTTTCATATAGAATGGATTCTGGTTTAAAATTTTTTTTTTTACGTAAAATGCATAAATTTTAACATTTAAAATTGAGTTCTTCTTTTATATGACGAATTATAAAGAAAAAGGTACGATTCACCCTTGTATACCTTGGCCTTAGAAATCCATTGCTTAAAAAGTTCTTATGAAGAAAATGGTTGAGAAACTACAAGTGTTTTTGGACAAAATAATGAACCCCAAACTATAGAGAAGTCTTTGATAAATTACTAAAGAATTTTTAGGCTCTTTCAATTTGCTTGAAACTTTTAACTACCTTATTGTTTTACCTTTTTTTTTTGTTGTCTTTACTTTATAGAGCTGAGTTTCTCTTATCATTGGGTTTGAGCTAGTAATGACTCCCCCTTTATGTTCTCACCAAAATGAAAACAATGACAACTCCAAGGTAAACATGGTGCTAGTTAGGAAGGCAATATGCATATAGTGCCTATGATTAATTTATGGACTAAAAGATGTGTTTCACTATTACATAAGTTGAGTTTATTATATGTATATACTAATAATTGTTAATTTTTCTCATCACCAAAATAATTCGTCCCCATATTAAATATACATTATGCCATAATTTATTATTGTAAATCGAAAATAGTATAAAATTTTTGCGTCAGAGAAGGCAAATCAGTAGACGGACACGTGGCGGGAAACTGTGGTATTTGCCTTCCCAACTTGTAGTTTTTTGTGTTTTTGAGTTTGTTGTAGTTACCTATGCGGCAAAGCTAATTTTGAGACCACACTTTCCACATTATTTATTAGATACAATGTAACTTTATTAAATTTGATAATTTTATATTACATTTTAAACTCTACTTTAATTTTGGACAAACTTTTTATATTTAATAGTTTCATATAAAATTTAAAAATTAGTATAATTATGACTAATTTTTCTATAGTAATGTTGTTTTTCTTTCCTAATTTGATCTTCAATGCTCACGTGCTTGTCAAAGAAAATTTTAATTTGAGAAAAATCAAGACTTATGTTGAACATTAGTCTTTTACGCGCTTTGTACAAATGAAATAATGCCCAATGATTATTTTTAAATAAGTATTTTAAAGTATATCAATGCAATATTATATCGGAGATGTTCATATATGCATAGGTAAATAAATATTGAATTTTTTTATTTAAATCGGTAATTTAAAGTATATAAATGCAAGATAATATATGAGAGATTGATTATATTGTCATTTGTCACTAAAATAAATGTTTGCAACTTTGTAATAACGCTAGTCTAAATACTTACTTAGTCTAAAAACGATAGTCTAAATAAATACTAATTTTAGTTTAAATTTCTTTAATTATATTCTTCTTAATTCTCTTTTGGGTAACATTGTCATTGTCTTGATCTTCAGTACATGTCATCTTCCTTTTTTTTTTTTTTTAATTTGTAGTGTGTCATGTGCAATTGGGTTACTGGTGGTAGCATGGATGGATTCATCGTGCAATGAGATTAAGATATAGGAAGCTTTAGATTTGCGTTGTTGTGACAATAATGAAATCATTGATTTTTTTTTAATTTACATTCGTTGTTGAGACAATTTGGTTTGAGAGTTTGTCAATGACAATTGTTACAATTCTTGTCAATAGGGGATGATAATAAATAATAAATAATTCAAAATATATAGTTATAATAGATATTGTTATAATAATATAGTAAAAATTAACTTACAAATTTATTTAGAAGTTTTCATGCATTGATAAAATTATGATGTATAAACTTGTTCAATTGGAGCCAGTGGGATATCAACATTGTCAAATTCTTTGAAAAATGGTGCTACCGTTTTAGAGTCCAGGTGTAATTGTATTTATGATCAACAACTTTGTAGTTAGGTCACGCAGGTCTGGCAATGATATAAGAACAATTTGTCCGATAAAAAAATAATAGTATAATATTTGTAAAGTAATGTACAATTGTACCATTATAAAATATATACAAAAAATATTAATACCATAACGACCTAAATCATACCAATAATGCAAAAGTATAATTGAAATATTAAGTTTTGTTATGATCTAAATAATCAAAAGAAAGTTAATTAAACGAAAAAAAAATCCAAATTTGTTTTTTTTTTTTTTTGTTAAATGCATAAGAATCAAATGATTTTTAAAGTTATTGATTTATAATATTTGATGCTTAACTTTGAATGTTATGTATTTAGTCAGATTAATTATTTGACAAAAAATTATGTTAAATTTTATATTGTATATATATTTTTAATACATTTTAACATATTCGTAGTATATGTTTAACAATTATGCCAACTCTAATTAGGATGGGGTTCGAACCTAAGACCTTTCTTATAGAAACTAGTTTTTTACGCGATTGGGATAATGCCCAATGTTTTTTTTTTTTTTTTTAAATAAGTACTTTAAAGTATATTAAGGCAAGATTATATTGAAATTGTTCATGCATAGATCATTGAAGGTTGAATTTGCGTATTTAAATAGGTAATTCTTCTCCCAAAGGTTGAGTCCCCAACCCCAAGGGCCCCCCACACTCTGACCTGACAGAGCATTGTGGGAAGTTGTAAATCACGGTGACTCAATGGTTCAGCAGACAGGACCAAATGCCGGTGCGAACAAGGAATCTGCCCACTTTGGACATAATTCCCGCACTGCCGCCGCCGAGGTTCAAACCTTGTATCTTCTCCCAAATACTGCCAACTAAACCATTGAGCTAAACCCGTGCGGGTTAAATAGGTAATTCTAAGTTTACAAATGTAAGATAATATAGTCAAGATTGATTATAATTGTCAATAAAATAATTGTATAGGTATGGTTGAAACCAAATACGGGACATAAGGGAGAACAAATAAAAATTATGGCATAAAATATTAAATATATATTAATATTGTTTGAGGAGATTTCGACATTAGGATTTGTGGTTAAGTTCTATTAAGACTTTAATATTAGAATTAGATTAATGGTGTAATTATAATTCTATATTAGACGTTAATATTAGAATTATACTAACGGTGAATTAACAGTATTTAACGGAAAAGTTAAATAGATAATCATATAATTAAGGATAAATTAGAAAAAATTTTTTAAAAAATAAAACCTGAACAATTTGAATCATTCATTTGATTTAATAATTTGGCGGTCATTTTTTCTACCCAATGTTAATAATTAAATA